AAAACTGCCGTTCTCTGGGCCATGCCCTCACTCCGTTGAGATGTGGCTTCTGGCCATTGTTGTCAGTAAAAAATTCTGGGCAGGTCTAGACGCTTCTGACAGTGCTATCTTGCAGACTGAGTTTCAGCCAGGGTAAACTTTGGGCGGCTAGCCAACACTCAAAAAATAAATCCGGTAAAGAAAACCAGTAGCCCACATCCTCAGGACACCGACAGAAAGTTTTTTGTTTTTTTTTTACAAAGTCTGTGCACTTGTGTTGATGTGCTCACTAGGACGGCTCTGTGCGGAAGGCCCAGGAGAGGTTCTGGGCGGGTGAGCTGCTGCCCTAGTTTTCTTACATCGGTAACAAGGGGCCATCATCTGGGTGGATTAAAATGACAGAAATGTATTCCCTCCCTTTCTGGAGGCCAGGAGTCTGAAACCAAGATGTCAGCAGAGCCCTAGCTGGTTTGGCTCAGTGGCTAGAGCAGTCGTGGGCAAACTACGTCCCGCGGGCCAGATCCGGCCCGTTTGAAATGAATAAAACTAAAAAAAAAAAAAAAAGACCGTACCCTTTTATGGAATGATGTTTACTTTGAATTTATATTAGTCCACACAAACACTCCATCCATGCTTTTGTTCCGGCCCTCCGGTCCAGTTTAAGAACCCATTGTGGCCCTCGAGTCAAAAAGTTTGCCCACCCCTGGGCTAGAGCGTCCGCCTGTGGACTGAGGAGTCCCAGGTTCGGTTCCTGGTCCAAGGGCATGCACCTTGGTTGCAGGCTCCTCCCCAGCCCCGGCCCTGGTAGGGGCGTGTTCAGAAGGCAACCAATCGATGTGTTTCTCTCACATCGAGATTTCTCTGTCTTTCCCTCTCTCTGCCACTCTCTCTAAAAATAAGTGGAGAAATATCCTCAGAGGAGGATTGAGAAAACAACAACAGGTTCGAGGAAAGAACCCTCCCTCGCCTCTCCCAGCTTCTGGTGGTTGCCAACAATTCTTGGAATTCCTTGACCTGTTGACTCATTATTCCAATCTCTGCCTCTGGTGTCACATCCTTTCTGGATGTCTATCTTTACAGTCATCTCTTCTTTTATAAGGACGCCAGCCATACTGAATGAAGGGCCCAGCTACCTACCCCAGGATGAGCTCATCTTAGCTAATTACATCTGCTCTAGACCTATTTCCAAATAAAGTCACTTTCTGAGGTTCCAGGGGTTAGGACTTCAACGTAACTCTTTTGGGGACACAAGCTTAATCCACAACAGACGGGAGGAGGCGCACTAAGAAGTATTGCGCATTTTCCTCAGAGGGGAGGGAGTGTGTGGTGGGGTGTGAGGGGGGTCGCCTTGGCCCTGCACGCGCACAGTCACCTCTGCATCTGCCTTCTGCTTGTCTGCCTTCACCGCGAGCTCATGCTCAGGCAGTGGGTGAGGCTGACCTTGCTTGGGGCAGACCTCATTCTCATCTCGTCCAACCCATGAAACACGCTCTGAAGGACATGTTATCGTCCCCATCTTACAGAGGAGAAAGGGAGGTTCCTGACAGATGAAACACAGGCACGCGTTACTGTATTGCGCTTCATTTTCACTGCCCTTCACAGATATTGTATTGTCATCAACAGCAAGGAAGACCCTCCACCAGCAAAAAGTTAACGACTGGCTGAGGGCTCAGAGGATGGTTAGCATTTTTAGCCATCGAGTACTTTTTAATTAAGGTATGTACATTGAGCCCTGGCCAGTTTGGCTCAGTGGATAGAGTGTCGGCCTGCGGACTCAAGGGTCCCAGGTTCGATTCTGGCCAAGGGCATGTACCTTGGTTGCAGGTACATACCCAGTAGGGAGTGTGCAGGAGGCAGCTGATTGATGTTTCTCTCTCATCGATGTTTCTGACTCTCTATCCCTCTCCCTTCCTCTCTGTAAAAAATCAATAAAAAATATATTTTTTAAAAAAGTATGTACATTGGGTTGTTTGTTGTTTTTTTTTAATGTTTTCACTGGTATTTTAGAGAGACGAAGGGAGAGGGATAGAGAGATAGAAACATTGGTCAGCTGCCTCCTGCATGTCTCTACTGGGGATTCAGCCTGAAACCCGGGCATGTGCCCTGACAGGGAACCAAACCAGGGACCTCTTGGCTCATGGGTTGATGCTCAACCCCTAAGCCACGCCGGCCGGGCTGTCCAGCCCGGCCTCAGTATCTCCAAGGTACGCCTGCAGTTAGTCCACAGTAACCAGCAAATACAAGGGGGGGAGGTCTACCTCCCTACCATGCAGGCAGTCAAGCTGGGGCCACGTTTGGAGACAAGCCAGGTGGGCACAATCCCTGGCCAGAGGTGCTGTAGATCAGTCAGGTTTGGGGAAGGCATGTTGGATGGGGAACCTGGATGTACCTTCACATCAAGGCTTCACTGCACCTCTGTTCTCCAGCGGGAGACCCAGTCTAGCGCTTTTCTGGGCGTATGGCTTCTTAGAAGGGAAATCTGAAGGTATTAGTGGGGGTACACCCCACCTCCTGCCACGCCCAAGTTTGTGAGACTGGGAAGTGCTGGTTTTCAAACAGCTGCGTAAGACTGCAGAACCCACCCGGCTCAGGGGTTGAGCGTCAACCTCTGAACCAGGAGGTCATGGTTTGATTCCCTGTCAGGGCACACACCTGGGTTGTGGGCTCGATCCTAGGGTGGGGGTGGGGGGGTGCATGTAGAGGCAGTCAATCAATGATTCTCTCTCATCATTGATGTTTCTTTCTCCCCTTCTTCCTTCCTCTCTGAAATCAATAAAGACATATTTTCAAAAAGGACTGCAGAACCCCCAACCATTCAAAGAGGAAAAGTAAGAACCCAGCCTATAAAATGAATGAAAATGGTGCTGAGCGGGGGGGGGAGGGGGGGGCTCCCCAAATGGCCACCCCAGCAAATTCTCTCCCCAGAGAGAAAAATGACTAAAAGTGACATGGAAATGCACAAAGCAAGTAAGAAAAGGACCCCCATGTATTCACCTATTACTTATGAGGTTCAAATGTTCATTAGAAACAGTCTGGAGAGTTTGACATTAAGGAGTTATTGTTAAAATTTTAAAGTATGCTGGTGGCATTGTTTTGTGTGATGTGTTTTTTAAACTCGTTCTGAATTATTTCGGTTGGGATGCTATGGTGTCTGTCAAACATTTGTTTAAGAATGAAGTGTGTGATATTGGTCGTAGGGCAGTGGAAACTAAAGAGAAAATAAACAAATGGGGCTACATCAAAATGAAAAGCTTCTGCACAGCAAAAGAAACCATCAACAAAACAACAAGAAAGCCCACTGCATGGGAGAACATATTTGCCAATGTTATCACCGATAAGGGTTCAATCTCAAACATTTACAGGGAA